TTTTTTGACTGACATATAGGAGTTATGTACAGTAACATGAATGTAGCTTTATTGAGGTTTCATAGGCCTATATGTGACTCATTACATGTAAATAAAATTAAAAGTTCTTTCACGTAGTTCACATTAAGTAAATAACTTTAACATCTCATAATTATTATATGTGTATGTAACAGTTTTCTAATAATTTCTGCGAAATTTTGGATTGTAGTCTTTTTGAAAATTATTGCATAGAAAAACCTCTCTGATAATAACTCTTTCTACAGATTGTCCAGATCAACTCTCAGAAACTTTTTTGTCACCAAGTGATGCTGCTATTTTGGGGTTAACACCTCTGCACAGCTACACAATGCTCTTCTTATGCTGCTTTGTGGTTTTAAGTGTCGGAATCTGAAAGGGTTTTGACAGGTGTTGGCTCTCAGAGCAAGGGCACGATGCATTTCCATGAATCCGTTGTGTTTCTTGCTCATTGAATCCCCATTCACCAGAAGATCACTGTAGAAAATTAACTGCAAACTTGTGCATCATATTGTTTCTTGATTATGTTTTCATTTCATTGTATTAAATTTTGCAGACTGTATGAAAGTATTTTTATGGTTTTAATAATAAAAGTTGCAGATGTTACACTCTGTTCTAACTTTCAGCCATTTCATGGCACTTTGTGTTGCAATATTTAGGAGCAGACCTTGCTGCAGTGTTGCTACATCTTTAAGATGTTTTCATGTCTCCTTAACTGTTTACGCCTGTATTTTTCTTGGTGTTGTTTTTCTACAGAACTCGTTGCAACATGAGCCACAAGTGTTGCAGGGCTTTATCAGAAAACATATTAAATGTTTCCAAAAAGGACTCAAAAACTACATACAAAAAGTGTTGCTCTGTGAGCACTTTGACGTCAGATTCTAAATATTTTATCCATTCTAATAAGACAGATGGGCAGCACAAAACAAAGCGTCTAAAGTCCCGCAAGGAAAGAAGTCAGACGAGAGGTGGTTGGAAAGAGACGTCAAATGCCAAACTGTGTCACCAACACTGTCATCGCCAAGGCAGGAAAGATGCTGCATTTTTGCAGAATTGTTGTCTTAATAGTTGTCATTGGGCTTCAAAGAGAAATACACCCATTCTAAGTGTCATTCCTGCTACACAGGAGCCAAGTATCATTACAGACAATCGCCTGATTGGACACCATGGACTATTTAACCATAAAGTAAAGTCCTATGATATTGAACGCTTGCTAAGTAAACAGAGCAAACTTGAGAAAAGTGAGAAAGTAACAGAAGAGAACAAAAATACATCAAATCTGTCTTCAGCATCTCTCATTCAAGCTCACCTCTCCAGTGACGGTTTATTGGATGCTGATGCTAATGCTGCTGATGATGTACTAATTGGTGAGGAAGCAGGCACTGCTGCAAACACCCATGATGTTTCCAAAGAGACAGAAGAGAAAACCCTTCAGGAATCAGATATTACACCAGGTCAGAGGCCTCAGCAACAACTTCATCCACTGTTTGGAAGCTTTAAAAGCATCCCCTCATCTAAACACAGCCTCCACCATGAAGAAGCAACCACAGTGACAAACACAAAATATTTCAAGTCTGAAAAGAAAAGAAAATGTCAACTCTCTCCTGTTGGTAAAGAAAATGTGATGGCCTTAAGCAGAAAACAAACTAGACACACGATTACTGATCTTGAGCAACCTCATAAGAACCAGGACCACCAAACCCTAACAGATGGTCTCAAATCAAGTCCACTTCAACTCTCCAGCTCACCCGCAGCCAAGAGCTTCGATATACAGCACAGACACCAAGACCCTGAATTTGTATCAAAGATTATCAGTGCAGTGGCGTCACGTTTGTGTGGGTCTCTGCGTCTCTCGTCTCTTAAACGAAGTAACCTGTTGGCAAAAAGCAGAGAGGTGCTCCTGAAATCCCTGCAGGAGAGGCACGGACCCCGTCTTGAGGAGAACCTCCTTGAGATGCAGCGACGTGTTGGATATGATAACCCCACTCAGACCACCCTGAACCAAGAGCGAACTATGATGGAACAAGATGAGATTTTACTTGCAGGTAAGAGATTATTATTTACGTTAAACTTATTATTTAACATTGTAGGTCGCAGTTTGACTACAACATTTGAATAACGAAGTCAAATTGACCAAACAGATTCACAGTAACTTGGTTGAATGGTAAAAACTTAAACATGTATATTTAACTTGCAGATAATAAAACCAAGCACATCTTTTGACTTTTAAGTTAATGTTACAGGCTGATAATAATTCTAATTTCTTACTGTATCGTGTGTCTCTTATGTAGCTTTGTTCACGTTTACTTAGACAAAAAAAAAAAAGGTGAAAAATAGAAAGCTCTTTTGTTTTTGTTAATCCTTTTGTTTTATCCACTTAGTTTGACAATCTCTAGTTGTAGATACAAGTCCTCCTCTTGTTCATAAATGTTTTATAAAATGTATCTAAAATTAAACTTTATCAAATAATATGTCCCTTTAATTTTAAATTTATCATCATGGAATAAAAAGTAGTTGCAAGCACTGCAGAGTTCAGCGCCTGTTTTGTTGTTTCTTTTCTTTTAGATACAACTGTCCTAACAGGAAGTAGACATTTTCCCTGGGAGTCCAGTCCACAGCCACAATGGAGTCCTGAACAGGTTAGAACCCTAAAGGTCTCTGTGCAGAACATTTAGCTGGTTAAAAATATAAAATGAATAAAACTCTACGATTTCTTCATTTGTGTTAAACTGTGTAAGATATTAGATGTGCTAAACCAAAATGACAAATAATATTTAACTTTTTCTGTAAAATGGCTTGTTTTATTTACTTTTTGTAGCGATTCAGCAAAGCACATTTTGGATATTATTACACGTGCAATGCAGTTTAAACTGTAGAAATTACAGTGCCACTTGTTTCTAATAGAAAACCCTTTGAATGGTGATTCTGCTTGAAGTTGACATAAACTAAAATATGTTTAGAAAAATAACTTATTTGCACAAAAGTATGAAAGTGTACTGAGCTGGCCTCCTAAAGTTTTATCTGTGCTGCAGAGATGATCACAATAAGGGTATAACTAAATTAAGACATAAACATAGTTTTACACTTCACATATTTTATGAGGTTGCTTTGTTTTTATGTGCATTAAGGACATTTTGTTAGTTTTTGTTTATTCATGTAGAGTTACAAATTATGCCTAGTTATGTTTGTCTATGTTTCATTTAAAGATGGCTGAGGACTTGACAAGCCCTGTGGATACATCTGTTAATGTTTTTGATGAAACCTTCAGACCTAGTTTGTCTCATCACTTCTCCATAAACTTTGATCTGTCTGGAGCTACAGCAAGTGATTTGTTTGCTCCTTCTCCTAAGTTATTTCAAAAAGAAAAAGCCTCAACTGAGTTCTGGAAAGACTTCAAGTCTAAAAGTGAAGAGTCAGCTCTTTTTGATTCCTTTCAAACCAGCTACATGAACCACACCAGAAGAAAAGTTAGAGAGATGACCTGTAAACCGCAGATGGATCATATCGACATTCAGTCCTTCTTTCCCTTCCAAGATGGACATTCAGCTGAGCCAGTGCAATTTTCCCAGGAACAAGATCTGGTTGAACCTGCTGGAGATGTGTTTGCTCCCCTGTTACCAACCCACAGTCATTCCCACCTTTATAGCAGTCATTTTCAGTCTTTGGCCCAGCTTTCAACTCGCCCAACTTTCAGCTCCCACAGCAGTGACATGACGCTCTACCCCCCATCCCACATGCTTGAAAGTAGCCTAACCCCTCCCCGTTCTTGGTTACAGAGTCCTGAGCACTGGTCCTTTCCTCCCATGAGACTCTACTAATGTGTTCAACTCTGCATGGGCACAAATCTTTCTGAATTTGTGTCATTAGGACTTTCTTTTCTTATGTCATGTCCTTTTTGTATTTTATTAAAACCAACATTAAATAGAAAAGCGCCCGCTGTCCTTAAAAATGCTTCTTTAGTTCCATATATGCTTAAATGAAGAAACGCCTAATAATGCATTGTTTGCATTTTTATTATGCAAAACTCTACATTCAATACACATGCTAGAATAAAACAATCTCCAAAGCATGATTTTTAGTTGAAGCGGTGCAAGTTTGAGATGAACAACTATGATTCTTCTTGTGTATATCTTATACAAAACAGTGTGCCTTTGAAAACTGTATAACAAGACATGTCACAATTGCTATAAAACATTATTGAATACCAAAATAAACTGATCACAATGTACCGTGTATAATTACAGACGTTTTGTGTTTAATGAAAGACAGATGAAGTTCAAGTTGTGTTTATTTGTCATATGCAGGTTAACACAGGGTTAACTGTACAATGAAATGCTTACGATGAGAAGAACTGATTTGACTTGCTAAAAAAAAAATCAAAGAACAATCCAACAAGAAAACTACAAAAAAGCATGCAATAAGGGTACACAAAAAAGGTACCAAAAAGTGAAAAAGTAGTTAATTAAAATATATCTTCAATGTCTTAAAGAGAGATATTGAGCAACAACATGGTAGAATATAATGGTGCAGCAGGATGAATTTGAATAAGTATTTCGAGGTAGTAATACAAGCTAAAATGCACATGATGTATACATGTGTATATATATATTTATATATATATATATGTGTGTGTGTGTATATATATGTATATATATGTATATATATATATATATATATATATATATATATATATACACACACATATATATATATATATATATATATATATATATATATATATATATATATTGGGACATTGGGGTTGACCTATTAGTTAGTTATTGCCAGTTGTTCAGTATTATTACCAAGAGTTCAATAATCTGACAGCTTGTAGATAATAGCTGTCCTTTAATTTTTTTGTACACTATGGCAGACTCCTGTATCGTCTGCCTGAGGGCAGTAGATGGAAGAGTCCTTGTGCTGGGTGGGTTTGGTCCTTAATGATGCTGTGTGTTTTACGCAGACATCGGCTGTAGTAGATGTCCTGGATGGTGTGGAGACTGCTACCAGTGATGTTCTCTGCTGCTTGCACCATCCTCTGTAGTGCTTTCTGACTGGTGCAGTTCCCATACCATCCTGTGATGCAGCCTGTCAGCAGGCTCTCAATGTTGCACCTATAAAAGTTGGTGAGGATGCTGGTGTTCGTACCAAACTTCTTTAGTCTTCTGAGGAAGTAGAGTCTTTGTCTGGCTTTCTTAACCACAGTGTCTGTATGTAAAGTCCAGATGTCTTAGATGTGCCATTTTGTATCGAAGCCCAGCAAAAAAATTGAACACTGAATTTTTTATTTATTTATTTGTAAACCTTAATTAAAATTATATTTTTTTATGGGTGCAAAAGATAGCTTTTATCTGTTAAGTGATTGTCAAAATGTTCCATTTCTTTTCCTTCTGAAACAGAGTCTTTGTTTTTGTCATCTTGCTCTGTTCCCAGTTTGCTCCCTGTTTTTATTGCCCTTCTGAGCTGATTCCAGAACAGCTCCTGGGCCTGCAGGGGATTATTACAGTCTGAGCCAGGCCACTGCAGATAAGTCTTTTTTAGCATCACTTTCCTCATGCGATGATAAGACGACAGCTGCCTCTCGGAGATTGGCTCCAAAAACACGAGCAGGAGAACGTCTCTGTGCTCATCGAAGAGTCTGTAACTGGCCAGTTGAATTTCCAGAGAGCACCACTCACTTTGTAGGAAGTTTCTGCTCACCACACAGATTGTTTTACGGCTGCTGTATACAGCGGTGACAATATTGTCCACAATGTTGCGGCCCAACTCAAAATCCCTGTGATGCAGGCAGAGTTTCAAGAAAGATCCATTTCCCTCCAGGTTCGGTAGTAACTCATTCATAACCCATTGTTCATCAGAAAAGTTATAAGAGATAAAAGCATCATATTTGGAGTTCTCCTCTTTCTCTCTGAGTCTGTTCCAATGCTCACTAAACCAGGAGCGGAAGACGTAGTAGCTGTACTTAATTTTCCAATAGAGTTTGACATAAAGTAAAGGAATGATTGCAAACAGGAAGACTGCAGCTGCAGTGCTGGTAAACATGTACTTTCCTAGATCTATATAACAAACTTTGGTATCAAAGTTATAAAATTTGACCATTTGATTGTTTTGGCATGTCAGTTTGTAGAGGTAGACCACCTGAACATTTGGGTTCTTTAATGTATAATTCTGCAGGAATTTGTTCTTGCAGGTGCAACTTAGAGGAATATTGCGCATGTCAAGATAGTGAAGTTTGGGTAAACTCTCTAAGGCATCGACAGGAATGCTCTGCATCACGTTGCGATTGATCTGAAGAATGCGTAACCGTGTCAGATGCCCAAATACCTCCTTGGAGAAGTTTTGAATTCCCATGTTTTCTACAACCAATTTGGTCAAATTTCTTAGATTTTTAAAGACCCCCGGTACTAACTGGGCCACTCCAACACAGCAGCTATCCAGTGTGAGAAATTTTAAGCCAGTCAGATCATCAAATGCATCAGGAGGAAGATAGTTAATGTTATTGTTGGTGAGATACAGAGATTCCAGTGAGTGGAGGCCTCGGAATAAAGTGCGAGGTAAAAGCGCGAGACCATGATTGCGCTGCCCACTCAGTTTCAGATCTGAGAGTCTGCTGAGGTTTACAAATGGTGAAATATTATCTTCTTTAAGGAAGCGGATCTGATTGCTTGCTAAATCCAGCACTGTGAGCGTATCTTGGAAAGCATAAAAGAATGAAGACTCGATCTGTTTTAGGTTGTTCCCATCTAGGTATAATTTAGACAAACTTTTTAGCCCATTGAGGCCATTCTGCTGAAAATGGGTGATCTTATTCCCTCCAAGGTCCAGTGTATTTAGATTGTTTAACTTGTGAAAGGTTCCACTAAATATGACAGAAATGCGGTTATTGCGCAGACTAAGAATTTGCAGATTGACATTTGTTTCAAATGTTTCCTTGAACAAATCAGTCAAGAGGTTATTGTCCAGTCGAAGGGTCTGAAGTTGTTTTAGACCTGCCAGGGCTTTGAGGTGGAGAAATGCTATATTGTTTATGTTGAGCTTCAGCACCTTAATATTAGGTGTGAAACTGAACGCATGGATGCAGACTGAGAGAATGCGATTGAACCGATAGCTCAGTTCTTCCAAACTTTCGAATTGAAAGTTTTTTTGGTTTTTACAGAACGGGAGGGTGGTAAGAAGGTTGTGCTCTGCAGAAAACTTTGTAATACCTGATTGATTATACATGACGCTCAGGCAATCTACTGACTTTAGTTTGTTGAAGGATAAATCTAAAACTCCAGTAATTTTAGGACAGTGGGAGAGTGTGAAGTTCGTTAGATTATTAATGCTGTTATATCGTAAATAAAAATGTTTTATTGTTTTCAGCTTTGTTTTCAGTATTCTGCATAGTTTCCTAATATGACTGGAATTCTTTACACCAGTGCCAGAGAAGTCCACAGAACCTGCGTTGATGTTGCTGATGTTTAAAAAATCCACTATTTTGACGCTTGTTGAATTCAAATGCAGACTATGTACTTGGCTCAGATCCACACCCTGAAAAGCTTTGGTAGGTAGCCTATAATTGTTTGACAAATCAAGCACGTTGATAAACTTGAGAAATGATGAACTGCATCCTAAAGTATGCAAATTATTTCTGCACAGATGCAACACATTGAGGGACTGAGGCAGAGATATATTTGAATGACTGAGAGAAGTCAGTTTGTTGGAACAAAGGTCCAGATTTTTCAGTTTCCTTAGATGCGATATTGATTTCATAATCTCTGAGAAATTTGTGAGACAGTTATTTCTCAAGAGTAAAGTGTTGAGATTGTGTATACCAAAGAAAATGTCCTCAGGAAAGCCATTTAACTTGTTGTTGGCCAGAGAGAGGAACGTGAGGTTATGAAGGTCTTCAAACGATGACGCACTGAGCTCTGAGAAGAGGTTAAAGGACAAATTCAAAGACTGAAGTTGATGCAAGTTTTGGAAAGCCAAAGAATCCAAGAGTCTCAACTGGTTTTGATCTAATCTGAGGTTCTCCAGGTTTGGTAGATGAGCAAAGCTGTTGTTGGGAATGTGCCTCAGTGGATTGAAGATGATCGTGAGATTCACGACAGATCTCGGCAGGTCCTTTACTATATTAGACATGCGATCGACATTGCGGCTTTTGCAGCTGAAGCTTTTCCAGTTCGAGTCGGGCTCTGCAATACAGTTGTAAAAGCTGTAGCCATCGACGAGCCGAACGGCACCAAGAACAAGCATGAGTAGCCACAGCTGATGGGTTTGAGAAGCCATTTTGTCTTGTTGCAGATCCACAAACAGACTTTTAAAAACTTTTATTAGTTTCTTCGTCAGCTTCAGTTTAATCTTTAAAGTTTTTGTCGGGTTGTAGATCAGGTGAACACGCTTAAGCGATCTGAAAACAGAGAGAGTCCAGTTACAAAACCACTAACATCATCTGTGTTTGCTACCTTGTACAGTTTTAGTTAAGAACATCGTATGTGATAGATATTATACACTAGAAGCTTTATCAGAACTATTATTTCAGAAGAAATCTCAAACTTACAGTACTGAAGTCACCTGTCATTTACTTTTAAATTTTGCTTTCAACTATGTTCTTGTAATCTTTTAAACCGTTCTTGATCTATAGCTTTTTTCACTCATTTTTGATTAGTACCTGTCTTTTTCCAAGGAGTGTTTTTATTTGTTTACCCATTTAACTCATAAATCTTTCCAATGTAAAAGGTCTCTAAACTCAAAGAATAAACCGGCGTTGCATCTTAACAATTTAGTCAAGAAGCAGTTTTAAACCTGATGTTTAGGTATTTTGTTGCCTGCAGTTCATTGCAAAAACAATTTATGTACATTTCTTTAGCTGATTTTATCAAAAATAACACCGTTTGACAGACATTTAATAGTATTTAACACCAACAAGCAACTAAAGCATGAGCTGAAAACTGGGAAAAGTGTAAATGGTTATGTAAATATTATTTCTTAGGGTCTGTATTATTCTAAATTTACCGTTGATCAGCTGGGGATATGTTTTTAGAACTGAGATTTATTTATTTATTTTTGTTCTAATATATCTTCCTTATTTAATCACACACTGCACAACATGCAGTCATGGCCAGTTGCGACTGGACAGTAAAAGGATTTTAAAAAAAGCAGCTGAAATCCAAATAAACTTTAATAAACCTGCAGAAAACCTGGAGTACTATTGAGTAAGACCACTTTACAAGAAGCTCTGGCTGCTTATGGTACATTTTAAAATAACAAAAAGCCTTAAGAAGTTGCCTTAAGCTAACTTTTCACCCGCTTCGGACGTTATCAGCCATTAAATGGCCGTTAGCTGAACTTTTTGAAGTTTTGTCTCAAGTGTTAGATGTTGGTGTGTCAATTTTAAGTTGTGATTGCAGTTTTTAAGAAACTGGAGCTTTGTACAAAATAGAATAACTTGTTTCCTCTTTTTGAATACTTTCATATCCTTGCAGCCCCAGTTGTAAATGCACTCAACACTCTAAATTAGGAGTGTCCAATCCTGAGCCTTGAATGCCACAATCCTGCATGTTTTATGTGTTTACCTGCTTTAACACAGCTGCTTCACTAGTTGAATTAAGCTTTAGAAGCCTGCTAATCACTTATGAGGAAAATCAGGTGCGTTGGAGCAGAGAAACGTCTAAAACATGCAGGATAGTGATTGCTCTTAATTTGAGAAAACAACGTATCACTGTTCACATTTTGATACGATGACAAATAAAAATGACAGTACTGTAATAGCATTATGTCCCTTCATTGTTTTACACAAATTCATAAAATTAACTATTAAACTCTCTTACCTGCTCAAATAGATGTCCGTCCCTCGCTGTCCCTTTAGGGAGCTTTGTCGCATGACTTCAATAATTATCCGAAAGAGGAAGATGGATCAGACTCGTTCTTCTCCTTCCAGATAGCAGCAAATAACATTTGAAAAAAGTAGTCCACACCATGTCACTTCCTGTATCTTTTATTAACAAAATGTTTGAAAAAGTACAGCCAAAGTATAAGAATAAAAACACAAAATATGTATTTAATGAAATGTTTAATGAATAATACAGATGCTGAGTTGTTTTGCATGAAAAAAGCAGTAATTAAGGATATTGCATGACTAAATAAATACTTTACAGTTATTTAATCAAAACGAAATTATATTTAAGGTGGGAACTCAGGGCTGCTGTAAAGATCTTCCTCTTTTAACAGTTTGTTATATAATGTTTAACAAATTTATTTTTATTAAAGCTATTAAACAAACTAATCATAATATAGCTTGAGCATCTGTTTCCTCCTCTGATGGTTTTTGACTACACAAAAGCAAAGTTCTGCTCACGGGCATTCCCTCAACCTTCTGTAAACATACCATCCATCCATTATCTTTACCCGCTTATTCCATTTTGGGTCACGGGGGTCGCCGGTGCCCATGTCCAGCAATCTGTGCGAGGGCGGGGTACACCCTGGACGGGTCGCAAGTCCATCACAGGGCCACATAGAGACAAACGAGACAAACAACCATTCACTCTCTCACTCACACCTAGGGACAATTTAGAGTTACCAATCAGCCTAACATGCATGTTTTTGGTCTGTGGGAGGAAACCGGAGCGTAAACATACCAATGAATGCAAAATTTAAATTCACTGCATTTTTTTTTTCAAACCAAATAATGGACTTTCCATGTAGGTCATATTTATGCAGAAATATAGAAAATTCTCAAGGATTCACGAACGTTCAAGCACCACTGTATTTAATGTAGAAAAAGCAGTCGTGGTTCCTTTTTTATTTCCTCATTTTCTGCTCTCGTGCCATCTGACACAGTCCACAAAAAGGCAAGCAGGACATGATAACCCAGTCGTCGCACACTGAGCCCTGAGGGGAGAAAATAAATCAAATGAAATGTATATTAAAAAGAAGATTGTTGGATTTTGCAGACCAATAGAATCAATTTCTGCCTTTCAGAATTATAGATAAAATTGCATTATATCTAAGTTTAACATTGGTTTTGTACTTGCATACTTACTTCAATGTTGTATTTACTTCGGATGCTCGTCCTCAGAGCAATCATGGCGCCGGGGAGGAAAGGCAAACAGCAGCTGTCTCCGTTGTCTTGAGCCACCTTGCAGCCCAGAATACAGGGAATAAATGTTGCACAAAGACCTGGAGGGGACACATGATTCGCCACAATGAAATTTACTTTACACCGTAAATAAACCAAAATGAGATTGCCTCACAAAAACACGTACAAATGCCACAGTCATCACAGCAGTCGCACACGCTTGTACTCCAATCTGAGCGTGCAGCAGATACAGTGTATTGTGTTACGGTGACAGGCTGAGAGTTCACCACATTAGAGTGGAATTCCATGGCTGCAAGGCAGAAGAAAGAATCATTACGATGTTATTAAATATGAAAAAAGCACAGTTCCCCTTAAAGTGCAAAAATTGTTGTGCCATATTAGTAGCAGTTTCCCTTTGACTCATTTCCTCATTTTTGGCAAGTGTTGCGCCATTAAAGCTGGTTTTTATTAGAAGAGAGAAATGAACCAGTTGCAAACATTAAAAATTAGATTGAAATTAGTTTTGGATCAAAGATTTATAGACTTCAATGCTGCAGAATATCCTTGGTTTAAGCAAAACAAGTGGTTCATGTTTTACCTTCTGATGATCGTTGATTTCTGCTGAATGGATGCTGAAGATGATCACAGTCTAAATCCCCACGCTGAAGGAAAACGTCCTGACCCCACTTCTTATACCCAGTGTGAGAACATGCAGAGGCCCAAACCCAGTCTCGGTGCTGAGGTCACGTGATAAACGTTTTGACCATTTAGCCCGGAGCAAACAATATGTAAAGATAAAAAGAAATATTTAGTTTTGAGGCGTATCATGCTTGACTAAAGAGTACACCTTACGTGAGGCAAATTTTATCAGCAGTGAGTAATGAAACAACAAAGCAGACTTGTATTTTAGCTGCTTTGCTAAGGTGTGGTGTGTGTACATACTGAGGGTCCAGCTGGGTCTGAAAGATGTGATGCTCAACCAGTAAGAAGAGGTTTTGCTCTTATGCAACATCTTTTCACGTCTGAGTGAAGATGGAATGTTTCCATGAAAAGCTCTCGACATGTTTGTGCTGTGGTCACTGTAAACTGTCAAACAGACCCACAAACTGATAACACGGCAGATTTTTGGTTGGTTATTTAGGGTTGCGCACAAGTCTAACATTTCATATATCAAAAAAAAAATTTTTTTCTTCTTTCGGCTGCTCCCTTCCTCACAGAGCGCAAACTTGCATGAAGGCAATTGTTGTGTGCCAGATGTTCTTCCTGATGAAACCACTTAGCTACCACAGGCCACATGTGTGGAGCAGAGGGCTGCCATCTAAGGTGCCCGGGGAGCAGCTTGCTCAGGGCCCTCGGTGGGGCAAATGAAGGCGTAGGCAGGTACATGTGCTTCACCTTTCCCACCCAAACTTTTTTGTAATGATCTGGGAATTCAAACGTGTGATGTCATGATCACTGGAGATCTTCCTCCATCCTCTGCACCACCACTCCCCCATATATCAGAATACAGAATGAGCACATTTATTTAAGTTGCTGTTAATAGAGTTGATTATATTTTAAGAAGACTGAGTGTGATGTAGAGATTTTCTAAAGCAGATTCTAAATGTTATAATTATCACTGTTCATGATTAGGTATAAAAATATAACAACATCCATTTATTTAGATGGTGGTTTGGACAAAGTGCTGTTCAATCAATAGTGTCTTTTTTATTTTATTTTGTCTTTTGATAAAATGTTTTTTGTTTAATTATATTTCAACATAATAGCAATTTAAAAATGTGATTCTTTTTTTAAACATTGAGCAGTGAAATGTGTAACACTCCAAACTCAAACACAATAAATCATCCACATTAAAAAATCATCCTTTTAATATCTCCAAGTTCTGCAAAGTTACTGACTCACCTATGCATATAATGTTTTCTTTTATATATGGTAAATAGAGCATATTTATATCTTACTCATACACCAATAAACATATTGGAGGCAATGGGGCATTCAGATTTTTGCTCAAAGACACTTCAGCAAACTGCATGGGAAGGGGATCAAACCTCTGATCCTCCAATTGGAAGATGACCTCCCTACCTTACCTTAGCCATACCTTAGATATGTCATTTAAAACAAAAAATTATTTTGTTTTATAATAGATACCGGCATGTGCAGCTCAAATTCTTTGTTTCGACCCACGTGTAACTCAGGAAGTCAGTTCACAGAGAGACTTGCAATAAAACCTGTTGCCAAAACGACAGCAAGTTACTGACTACAGTCATTTACAAAATAAATGGTGGCTTGTAACTCGGGTAAAGCTACATCGGAAAAATATATCTGACTGGGGACGACGTAGCGAGGCTCAGCGTAGTCCAAAAATCTTTGGAACCGACATCCTCAATGAATGAAAATGGTTGGTTGTCCAGAGCAATACACTCCATCGGTTACTGAGCGATGCCTTTTGCCTTCAGGTGGTCGTGGCTGTAGTTCCTTGCTTTGTCCAAAGCTTGTAGAATGAACTGCTGGTGAGGTTTTGTTTCTCTGTGGTTGACCGCTCTCTCGCTTTCCTTTCTGGCCACCATGAACTCATTGTAATGGTTGAAATGGTGGTTCTTGAGATGGTTAATTAGGTTCGAAGTGTTGCAGTGGTCATTTTCGCTTCTCCTCGCATCACTGATGCTGGGCAGTCATTGCAAATAGCGGTTCTGCTATCAGTTTCCGACACTTTAAAAAACTTCCACACTGCCGACATTTTGACTTTTTCTTCTCCGCTGTGATCAGATCAGGTAGGTGCGCATGACATCATCACGTTGTGCTGGCGCTGCAACAATCCTTGTCACTGTGTTGTCAAACAATACAAAAACAGCACCTTTTATATTGGTGAGTTATTTTGATGGAATGGCTGATGGCCAATATTTTACTTTATCGCTAATATCGGCAGATACTGATACCATGCCAATAATAGAGTGCATCCCTACAAAATAATTTTATTTGGGGGGGGCTGCTCCTTCTTCAGGGGTCGCCACAGCGAGCCAACTCGCACAAAGATTTGGTAATTGTTTTTACGCCGGATGCCCTTCCATCCACCGAGCTACCACAGCCCTCTGTGTGGAGCAGAGAGATGCCATCTAGGGCACCCGGGGGGAGCAGATGGTGGGGGTTCAGAGCCTTGCTCAAGGGCCCAGAATGGGGCAAATGATAGTGGAGGGAGGCATGGGTGTTTCACCTTTCCCACTCACATTTTGATGTTGTCCATACGAGGAGTTGAATCGGCAACCTTCTGACCGCAGGCCCACCTTTTCTAACCTCTGCTCTATCACTCTCCTTACAAATGAACTTTAAAAAAAAAAAAGAACTATTAAAATTAAAGAATGAAATATTTTTCCCACCTCATGTTGGGCCTGAGACAATTACTCTACCTCGTACCTGTCAGGATGTGTGCTTTTTGTCTTTTGCATTTTATTGTTCATTTTATTATCTTTTTTCAAGTTCAAGTAGATTTTATTGTCATTCACATCACATGTGGTACATGAGGTGGAATGAAATTGTGTACACAGTGTGTGTGATGTGTGTGTTTTGTGTGTGCTTCTTCAGTTTACTTCTGTTTCTTGTGTTTGATCGGTCTTTTTGTGTTTCCTCTGTGCCACTAGCCACTCCCTCTGTCAGTAATTTTCCACAGATGATTTCTGCTCCTCTGTCCTGCCACACGGACCTTCCCCTGTTCGCACTTGTCAGTTTGCCCAGGTGTCTCCACTTCCCTCATCAGCTCCTGTTCTTTTAGTCACTCAGCTTCCCCTCATTCATCATTTGAGCTTTGTATGAGCTTTTCCCTCCATCTGGTTCCTTGTCATTATCTCTGCAGTTTATGTTGAGTCTTTTTGTTTTGTTAAAATAAAATGTAATTTTATTCGGGCTCTTTTGTCAGTCTGGGTCTAACCTCCACATATGATGTAAGAGGCAAAAGAAACCAAACCTTTAGTGCAAAAGGTTAAAAAAAACTTTGTAAACTGACTGAACCAGACTCATTTGTGTTGTAAAATTTAAATCCTGACTTGTACTCGAGGAGTGGCAGATATAAATATTTAAGTTTCTGGAATGTACTCAAGCACTGGTACAAACTGATATTACGTGACTCAATGCAAATACAGAGATGTCTGCTAAAAGGTGGAGTAGCTGTTCAGATTTTAAAGACCTATGTAGATTGTGGATCTATGATTTTAAAGAATGTTTAGTAAGTTATTAATCATTTAAAATGAAGAATAATGTCTTTAGAGGCTTGATGGATCAGCAGGAACAGAAAGGAGGCACTTCAGGATGTTCTTGTCACAGTTAGGTTATCAAAGGAGCAACACTGCTCCCTTAACATATTTATAATCTTAGTTTCCATAGTTTTAATCTATCTTTAAGCAAGAAAAACATTTTGTGGTGTTGCACAATATATTTTACCAGACGACCCTCAGTTAAAATCACTCTAAGGCAACTGTAACCACAAGAGTTATTGGTTCCCGAGAAATGTGGTACATTGGTGGGTTTGAAAAAGAAATCACACGATAACACAGAAATAAACATATCTGACTCTTCTTCCCCCTTCCCCCCCCAACCCCCCGGTCCAGTCACAGTCTGTTGTCTGGTTTGTGACTCATCTCTGGACTTGCGCGCCAAGGCTGCACTGAATGTTCCTGAACTAAGCTGTCATTAGTTCATCTGCACACAAATTCCATTTAAAGTCAAATCAACATCTGAAAGCAACAGATTTTTAAAGTGGGGTCATGTATAAATATGAACAAGAAATAATTTCTTACTTTTTGTACACGGCTCTTTGAACAACCTCGGTTCTGATGGCAGCAGTTTGGCTCTGGCTCCGCTTGGACTAGCTAGCTGCTAGCTCATCAAATCAGTCAGAAATAAACTTTTTCTCATAGAAGTTGTTCAAATAACTATCTGCAACAGGTAACATATTGATTGTTCAAAACCTTTCCACTGACTGAACCTCACTTTAAAAGATTTGAACTATTCCTTTAACTTTATTTTGAACTTTATGTGAAAGCACAATGTAGGCAAAAGACCAATTAAGTATTTTTACCTGAAGTAGCAGACAAGAGTAAATTATCTGAAAATATTTTAATGTTTTCAGTATGAAGATGATTTAAACATCTTATTTTGTCTAGTCTACAAATACAGTAGTATTTTTAATTTGGTTTTTTTGGTATTTTAGCAGTATTTTTAGTATGTTTTTAGTATTTTTGCTGCATGCTTTGGTATTTCTTGTCTTTTTTTTTTTTTTTTTTGGGGCGAGTTGAGACGGTTCTTCTCGTCCTAAGCATTTCATTGCACTGTTAACCTTGTGTTCATTTTGCATATGACAAATAAATCTAACCTGAACCTGAGCCAGGCTTCCTGGTATTTATTATATTTGTGTTTAAATTTGCCCCACAGTGGTAAGTTTTTTTAACCACATGAACAAACTACTTCACATCCTGTTGTTTCTTCCACCAAATCTAATATTGTGTTGAGTTTGGTTTGTCCTGCAGCAGCAGCTCATTTATGTTACATCCTGCCTTCTTTGCAAGAGCTCTAAAGTCTTCTCAGAAAAACACAGGTAATTTGGTTTTCATTCTATTTTTCTTCAAAACGTACTATTAATCTAAACTGGAAAGTGACTTTTAATCTTGTCCTATTCAAGAATGTTAAATGCTTTGACTTTTTTTTTTTTTAACTGTAAGCACAAATCTGTATCAACATGCTGAAGTAGGCTGAGAGTAAACATTACATAACACGCTGAATATGAAAACAACATAGTGGAGCCTAAAATTTCTGTCAGCTAAGCACTTTCATTTCTCTAGTAACTAATTTCTGCTTTTAGTTTGATTACAAGTTTTTAATTTTGGTAAAGAAAAGCATCCATTTTTTTGTACAGGTATGTATTTGTGCAACTTCTTAAAAATAATGCATATTTCCATGTAGAGTGCAACTCTAATAATGTCAGGGAGAAGTTTCTAGCCAGCTGCAGACATAAAAAATATGTCACAATTTCCTTCACATAGTCACCGTCCATTTTCACTCTATCTTTCTGGGCGAATGTCTAAAGTGTGCGAAGATTCGGTTCCTGAATTGTCTTCCTTCTTTCCAAGCCCTTGTCATCTGGATACGTGTGAACAACGGCGTTTAGCTGAAGTGTGTATGAGCTCAGTGTGAGTTCTTCATTCTTGGGTGGTTTCAGTTGTTCTTCTGCCTTCTTGTTTTTTGCAGATATGGATTCAATCACACCAACCGAGACGGATTACTGGGTGAGTGGATACTTTACTGGAACTCTTTATTTTCTAGAGCAAGGAACTAATGCAGATGAAATATATACTCAGTAATTTCTGCACATCAGAATCTGAATTTCCTTTCTATATCTGACGGAGGACCTTTGCTTTCTCATCAGAGTGATTATGAGTACTACAGCGATCCTCCTGGCACAAGTAAAGTTATTGCCACCCCGTGCATGCAGGATGACATCTATGGCTTTGCAAAGAAGTACACCCAGGTTGTGTACAGCCTGGTGTTCGTCCTGGCTGTTGTGGGCAATGTGCTGGTGCTGTGTGTGATCAGACGTTTCAAGAACTCTCAAAGTGGTGGAGCCTGTGCCTTCTCCCTGACGGACACCTTCCTCCTTCACCTGGCCATTTCTGACCTTGTGCTGGCCTTCACCCTGCCTCTGTTTGCAGTGCAGTTGGGTCACGAGTGGGTGTTCGGCACAGCCGCTTGCAAAATCTCTGGCGCCCTCTTCTCCCTGAATCGCTATAGCGGCATCTTCTTCCTGGCCTGCATCAGCTTCGATCGATACCTGGCCATCGTCCACGCTATCAGCTCAGGCTGGAAACGCAACACCTGCCATGCCCAGTTTGCGTGTGCGGCCATCTGGGTGGTGTGCCTCGGTTTGAGCGGAGTGGACTTTGCTTTCATACAGGTCGCGGAGGTTCACACCGGGAGAGACCAGAAGATGAGCTTGTGCCAGGTGTGGTACACTCAGAATCCCACTCAGTGGCAGGTGGGGATGCAGTTCATCAGCGTGATTCAGGGTTTTGGTCTGCCCCTGCTGATCATGCTCTACTGCTACATCCATATCTTCAAGTCTCTGTGCAACGCCTCTCGGCGCCAGAAGCGAAAGTCTCTCCGTCTTATCATCTCCCTGGTGTCGGTGTTTGTCATCTGCTGGGCCCCGTACAACTGCTTCCAGCTGATGGACAGCCTGCAGAAGCTGGGGGTGGTGACGGGAGGTTGCCACTTTGGCCGTGTGATGGACATTGGGATTACGATCACTGAAAGCATGGGGCTGTCGCACTGCGCCCTCAACCCTCTGCTGTACGGCTTCGTTGGGGTGAAGTTCAGGAGGGAGCTGCTCAGAATGTGTGAAGAGGTGCTGGGGAAGAGAGGCCTGATGGGGATGAAGAAGCTGAGGGAGAGGAAGCTCAGAAAAATGACGGGATCGTTCAGCTCTGCAGAAAGTGAAAACACCTCGTACTCCGTCATGGTGTAACAGAGATCAGACACTGAGCTTAGGTTTGTGTGTTGGAGAGTTTCACAATACAGAAAGTTTATATAAAACCAAAAATGTTTTCATGGTATGATTTGTGTTTGTATATTTACAAAGGTGCTTGTCTTTCTAATAGGGCAGCTTTTTTGTTCTACGTTTGTTTTTTCGCATTTTTACTCATATTGTAGCACAATCATTAAGTCAGTGTGGCGTCTAAAGCCACCCCTGACATGTTCGCATTACGAACCAGTCCATGAGATCATGTTGATTTGTGTTTGTAGGTCAGCTTTTGAGAAATATGTTGATTTGTTCATACTTGTTACATGCTTGTTCAGCAGTTTAGATGTAAACTGAGAAATCAGCACTCTTCTGTCATATTGTGAAATGCAGAAAGCTTTTTAAAATAAATATAATCATTTAAAAGTAATTGTTTTAGCTCATTTTATTGATTCTGTATTACATAAGACAGTTTTTTCTCTCAGGTGTGTGTGCGTGTGTTTAAAATTGTATTGTAAATTGTACAATTCTGTGCTGTAAAGAAAGAAATGAACTTGAATTTTGTTTGTAAAAAAAAATCCCAACCTCTTGTAAATGTACAAAGATTTTTACAATAAATATTTTTAATACAACCAAAGTATTGTGTGTATTGTGCATCAGATTTACAGCATATTTTTCTGCAAGTTTATTCTGGACAATAGTTGAGTTAAGCTCAGTAGTTGTGTCAAAATCTAGCCTTCTTCTGCCTTTCTTAGACAAGTAAGATAATTGAAATGAAAGTAAAAATAGCATTACCCAAAAATATAAACAGTGGTTAATAGGTCAGTCACACTCATTAGTTTGAATAGTTTCTTTCAGCTGATGCCATAGCCTAAATAATTTTCATTTACAAAAGAAATATCACAAGAAACGTCCGTCTTGCATCATGTTTAACTCAGTTTTGAATCAAGCTAAAGGATAAATGTGGAAAATTACCTAAAGTCCAAAAATGTTTGCTGATGAAAAATCAACAAAAACACTTTAGATATCTAAATCTAAAGCTTTGCATTAAAAAAAAATGTTTTCCACTTATGTAAGGTCAACGTTAAAATCAAAGTTCCAGTTTAATGTGTGCTGGAAAAAGATGGGAAAAAATAAAAATGCCAGACCATCTCTCGCTCGCTCTCTCTCTCGCTCCGTCCGTCCGTCAGACAGACAGACAGACAGACAGACAGACAGACAGACAGACAGACAGACAGACAGACAGACAGACAGACAGACAGACAGACAGACAGACAGACAGATAGACAGATAGATAGATAGATAGATAGATAGATAGATAGATAGATAGATAGATAGATAGATAGATAGACAGATAGATAGACAGACAGACAGACAGATGATTTTATCAATATTATATTTATAAGCATCCTTTTCCGACTCCGCTCCTGGAAAACCTTGCAAAAAGATCTGAAGCTCTCGAACTTGACTTCTCTCAGTGATTTTAAGCAACTGTTAATTTCAATGCAAAAATCAATGCAGACATGTTCCTGTTTTTAGTATTTGTCATTGTTTTTATATTGTAGCACATGTTTTTAAATTTTGTTTTATTAATCACTTCTTTTATTTACTTTTCATTTTATATGCTTGATTGTGGCAGCAGCACGGTGGCGCAACTGGTAGAGCTGCTGCCTCTCAGCGAACAGGTCCCTGGTTCAAACCCCGGTCCAGGGGCCTTTCTGGGTGGAGTTTGCATGTTCTCTCCGTGCATGCGTGGGTTTTCTCCGGGTACTCCGGTTTCCTCCCACAGACCAAAAACATGCATGTTAGGCTGATTGGTAACTCTAAATTGTCCCTAGGTGAGAGAGTGAATGGTTGTTTGTCTCGTTTGTCTCTATGTGGCCCTGTGATGGACTTGCGACCTGTCCAGGGTGTACCCTGCCCCTTGCACAGTGATTGCTGGACATGGGCACCAGCGACCCCCGTGACCCAAAATGGAATAAACGGGTAAAGATAATGGATGGATGGATGCTTGATTGTTTTATTGTTGTGGATACCTCATCTGTGGTTTTTGTTTAAAACAGGTCTCTCTTGTAAATGAGTCCCCGTGACTCATTGAGACTAACCTGTATGAATATCATATTAGATTCACTACAAATAGAGTGAAATATTTCGTCTTTATTTCTTTTCATTTTGATGATTATGGTTTACAAATAATGAAAAAAACAAAACCCGTTTTATTTTTTTCGAAAATTATAATATTGTGAAGAGGTTCAATATTGTAAACGCCTGGTGTCATATCCTAATCAGCTGATTAACTCCTGGACATAAGCTACAAATGTCACATTCATCAAGTCAAGCCACTCCTGAAGCAGAGACAACAGACACGTCTTACCTGCTGAGAAGACAAATAACTGGACTGTTGCTCAGTGGTCCAATGCCGTCTTTTCAGATTAAAGTATTTTCATGTCATTTATAAATCAAGGCCCCAGAGTCTGGAGGAAGAGTGAAGAGAAACAGAATCCATGTTGCTTGAAGTCCAGAGTGAAGTTTCCACAGCCAGTGATGGTTTGGGTCCATGTTCTCTGCTGGTGTTGGTCCACAGGGTTTTCTGAAGTCCACAGTCAACACAACATTTACCAGAACATTTTAGAGAACTCCATGAAAGCTTTATGTATATACTGATTTAATTTTCCAGCAGGACTTGGCTCCTGCCCACACTGCCAAAGGTACCACAAGCTGGCTGTGGAATATTCTAATGTTCTGAAACACTGAACTTTGGTTTCTCATATTCGCAAGCCATAATCATAAAAATTTGAAGAAATATTCATATATATTTCACTCTATGTGTAATGAATCTATGTAAAATATGAGTTTAGCATTCTGAAATGATTGACAAAAAATTTGAGCTTTTTCACAATATTCTGTTTTTTTACATGCACCCGTAAAAGTTAAGTATTATTGAAGTATTGTTATAATGTTAGATAGTAAAAGCTAAATGTGCCAAAAATACCTGAGAGGTGGCAGCATTGGACCAGAAATAGTGAAACAGAAGCTCTCCATTGATTTGTATTGGAATAAAACTGTAAAAGCTAAAAAATATAAAAATGCTGAATCTAAAAAAACAAGTTGTTGTGGGGCTCATCCCATAAAGAATGGACACAATAAAGAGAAACAGAATTTCTAGAGAGTGTTTACTTTTAGGTTGCCTGAGGGTCGACTGTCTTCATCACCCCATTGACCATCTTGGTCACATAAAGCTTATTTAGTGCTAACATTGTTTAGTTCCAAGACCTAAAGCTGCAGAAACTACAAGCTGCACACACTTCTGCAGGAGCTGATCCATTTTTGGCACATCTGTCACATTTTTGCCCAGAATACACATACCAGTCAGTGTTGTTGACCCACTGGGTCACTATTTTAAGGATCACTTGCCATCTGCCCTTGCCTGATCCTCTTGTGCTCCTTCCTCTCTCCTCCAGTTTGCTCCTCCTGCAAATGTAGCATCCACCTCTTTCTCTCCCTCTGGTGGTGGAGGAGGCAGCAAGCATTCATCTGCAAGTTCATCTTCACTGACAGCTGGTTTAAAACATTCTGCCATAGCTCTCCAGTGGTTCTTTATTCAAACTCATTCTGACCAATGATTTGTATTTTATGAGCACCTCTCAAGCTTCTTCCTCGATATGTTGACAGCTTTCAGTCAATCAGTGATGGACAACACCCCCAAACTAGCAATACACATGTTGATAATCCATGGATGATTGGCCACTGAGCTCCTGTGGGTCACTTTTAGTTTGGATCAATCAACAACCTCAATTATCCATCTGAAGTGATTGACAGAAAACCTGACAAGCTACAAAATAATGTATTTTTTCAGTTTATCAAGTGACTTCAAAGCAAAACCATCCAATGCCATAGACTCCTGGGATTCAGCCCACATAGGCCTGTGCAATAAGACGGCCCAGCACGTGTGTGGAGCCTCTTGCCAAGCCATACTTCAGCAAGGAATGTGATTTTGGTTTGTTTGGTGGAAACAACATACAAAGTAAGAAACAGTGCAAAAATCCACAATTTAAAATTACATAAAACAAAGATAGAGCATTGGATCCATTGCTCTTCGTGATGGAGGTATTGGCTCCCGTACTTCAGAGCTGGAAATAAAGCAACTACTGCTAACTAACTTACTCGCTTACGTCGGCTCCTCCTTTCGCCTTTCGTTTGATACATGTTTGATACATGTTTGATACATGTCACGCAGCTATTTCCGGGTCATATTTTAAACTTCAGTCTGAGCATGAGGCAAAACATAAAATTTAAGTTCTCCGTTGTTGATGAAGGTCACAGAAAGTGACATCACAATCCTGCTCACATGGGGGAAACAAGCGACCAGTGAAGAAACACAAAAAGCAAATACAAAAGAAGCAACTCCACTGGCACTATACTGGCATTTAACAATGGAAAATCTGCAATATTCAAGGTTGCAACATCTTTTCAGACACATATCCCTGTAAAGCTATAAACTAGCCAGGTTTGGAAAAGGAAGAAATAGAAGTTCTGATATTCTCAACTGATGTCACATTTCCTACATCCAGGCACTTTTCCTCCATCTTGGTAGGATGAACTAAGTACTTTATCATGTCAGTGGACGCATGTGAGAGATCAATGATGGTTGAGTACTGTTGGGTTAAGGATGCCAGAAACAAAGCTGATAAATCAGGAAAGAGAAGTTTTCATTATATTTTGAAACTGAGAAAGCATGAAGGCAAACAAACTTAACAATTCAGGATTGAATGCTGACGTGTGCGGCTTGCCTAGAATAATATGAGCAGGAAAGACGAGCCGTCTGAAACTGCAAGAATTTACTCCTAACACTTGATCAGTGGTAAATGTTCAAGCGTAATAAATCTGGGACTGAGTCACTTTTCTAGATATGGTTGCAAATGATCATAATCATAATCAGGATAATAATACATGCTGATAATTTCAGGTGCATCATGTGAATTTAGAGACAAGAACTTAAAACTAAATTATAACTAAAGGCACAAATTTCTGTTAAATTTGTATACAAACACTTTTTACCATGCTTGTGATCAGAACTTCATTGTTTGCACAGGAGGCATTACATCCGTCACCCAAAGATGTCCAGACTTTAATGAACATAATTCCTGCAGAGTGAATGTGCTTTTATTGTGAATTAAATAATTCACAATACAATAAGTCAGTTAGTCTGAACTTTGTTTCGGGTGAAAAAGTTTTGCCCAGGTCTAGTTTGCATGCTCAATTTTCAGATGTGGTGAAGAAGAACATTAATGAAGTCAGTTAGTTACGTTGTGACTGAAACACCTGATCGAAAAAAGAAATCCAGTCTGTCATATTAATATGTCAAAACGTTACATTTGTAATGAAACCTCAGAAAAAGAAAATGCTCCTGTTCGTACTGCTCCGTCATCCAGCAGAAGTTGATTTAACAGAAAGAAGTAGCTGCATGCGGTGACTGCTTGAGGGGTGCAGAAGGTGGAAACGCCCACATAATTACAACTTGGCAGCTGTGTGTTTTGCTGGTTGTAAAATAATTACTGCAGAAAGTGAGTCTGACTTTCATTGCCGATCATCAATCCCAATAACAGTGATTTTTTTTCCCTTGGTACATTTTCAACAACACACTAACGTGTTTCTATGAGGCCCTTTGGCCTTTGAATTAGCCACACAGTTGACAAAGATTTAGAGTGAATAAAACCCCAAAAATCACTTGTAATGCTGTACACAGAGGGTATACTACTAACATGGCGGTTTGCCAGTAGGACTGGTTTCCGGTTCAGTCTAATGGGAACTGTGTATTGACTTAAATGCCTGTAATAATTCCTGTATTTCTTATAATGCAAGGCCTTCCGTTGAACTGATGTTTTTTGTTTGTTTGTTTGTTTGTTTGTTTGTTTGTTTGTTTGTTTGTTTGTTTGTTTCCTCAAAATCTTTATTTGCATTATCACAGAATAACAGCAACACAACTGAACAGCAATGAAAAGAAGAGAAAAATGGCAGGGGAGCATAAATTGAACAAAATAATAAAAGGAAAATTACAGTCATGTTCTTTCAGGAAGGAAACAATTGTACAAGTAACATATGTGCCAAGGAGCCTCATGTAAAAAAAAACAAAAAAAAAAAACCAACTACTCGTCCATGATCCCAAGTTGGGAACAAGCCCATATTGTTGTTTTTGCTTTTTGATTAGTTGAAGGTCTAATTGTAAGTAAATATTGTTTAAACTCAATAAAAAAATAAATAAAAAGCGAAATCAGGTTTTCTCTTAAAAAAAAATGCATTTGTGTATGGAACTGATATTAAAATGTCCGGCCCAGGCATAACTTGGGTTGTACCTTTCTTAAAGACAGTAGCACCCTCGTGTGGACAGACAGCATTAGTGCGGGACCTCGCTTCGTGCGCAGCATCCATAGCTTTCATATAATCACTAGATCCCGCATTGGCTGCTGCGGCGCAGGATTTTCGGCCGCCATCTTGGAACGGTCATCCTTATTTGGTTACAGCAGAAGATGTTTCAGCACTTCGCAGCTTATTTCTGTTCTAATCGACGGACTGTTGACGTCAGGTCTCGGGGGATAACTTTTCACAAGTAAGATGAACATATTATTGTTAGTATTTTGTGAATATTACTGTACTGTATTTATGTCCCCCAGCTGATGTGATGTTCAGTGTAACACCGGTGTTCAGCTGCAATGAAGCTAACCGAGATCTGATGACAGGAATATTTTGCTAACAAGCATACTCACTATTTCAGTAGCTTTGGTTCATTATCAAGAGATATGTATCATAAATGGAGTTTTGTTTAAGTTCTAGGATATAAAAAAAATAAAACTAGGGAGAATATAGGAAATAGAAAATAAGATTGAACTCCTCTCTACAATGTTTTTGTGTAGACACAAATCTCCTGTTTTCATTGTGAAGGTTTCCTAAAGAACAAGATGTGAGGAAGAGGAGGAAGTATCATTGAGGAGGATTCATCTGAGCAGAGAGGATTTTAAACTGGAGGATTCTGATAAAACTGATCAGATTGTCCGACTGAGAGATGGTGTGGTACCATCCGTTCACCTTCAAAGAGTAGGAGCATCATTATAAGTTAATTAGAGTTCATAAATTTACACATTTTATTGTCAGTCACAAGGTGAGACACCTCCATGTGTTTACATGAACAGGTAACTATAGACTGTAAAGTTCATATTCATGATGCTTTTTCATTTCAGCTTGAAAACTGCAGGACTACAGGAACTCAACAAAAGCTGAAGCTGCTCTGTCTGTGGCCTCTCAGGAACGTGCACGTCACACACACACTCTCAGGAACGTGCACGTCGCACACACAACCTCGGCCTAATGATGTGAGTATTTCTATTTTAAACTTTTATTTTTTTCATTTACCTTTATTTATACAGGTAGTCTCATTGAGTCACAAGAACTCATTTTCAAGAGAGACCTGTTTAGGAGCAGATGGTGAGGGTTAAGGGCCTTGCAGGGGACCAGGGTGGGGCCAATGAGGGTGGAGGCAGGTGTGGGTGGTTGGCCTTTTCCACCTCATTTTGATGTTGACGGTACCGGGAGTTGAACCTGCGACTTTCCGATCACAGGCCCATCTTCTAACCTCTGCTCCACCACTCCCCCACATAACATCATATCATAATGGTCATGGCCATATTAAAATCTCACTGGTTTCCTTCCAGATGTGTTAAACTGGTCCCCCTGATGTTCACAGGTGGCTGTGGTCAGTGGATGAAAAGACTGGCATGAACAAGATGATGCTGGAGATCATCATTTGACGAGAGCTCCCACCTTCTAACTGTGAAGAACAAGAGCAGCTCAGTGATTCCCTCAAGGCTCAGTGAAGGTGCTGAGAGCTGCAGAGAGGCTGATCCATGGAGCTTCAACACAGCAACCTCCAAACATGTCCACCCTCTATATCTATCTATATCTATATATCTATCTATATCTATATATCTATCTATATATCTATCTATATCTATATCTATATATATATAGATCTTAATAAAAATGTATCAGTGACTGAGTTTTGCAAACGTGTCATAAGAATATTTTATTAGTGTAATGTTAACCCCACCAAGAATATTTAAATACACTGAACCATGTGTTCAGCTTTAATGGCTGTACTCCTAAGATTTACAGAGGAAAAAACCGTGAGAATGAGTTTAGTATTCAGCTCTGACTGATTAAACGCGCAAATACTTCATTGCTCCTGTCAAACAGGTTACACTGAGTGGAGCGGTCGACCGTTCCAAGATGGCGGCCCTACAGCTCGTCAGCGCCAATATGCGATAGCGGTCAATGCTGCATCTAGTGTTTAAATGATATCTATGCGCAGCATCGACAAGTTTCGGTCAAGCGGAAGTATGCGGAAACAGACGAAGAAATCTTTCAAAATAAATGATTCGTTCTGAATAACAATAGTTTTAGTTAACAATTTTAGATATTAAACAAAATATAACTGTTTTTATTAACATAAATAAGCTTGTTAATTTGTATTTTTTTATTTCGTATAGTTTTTTTTGTTCGTGTTTAATTAAATATTTTAAACTGGATATTTTATTTCGAAAAACAGAAACGATGAGTATTTTGACAACAAAAGCGTGTCGAGTTACGCTCGATTACATAAAAACAACAAATTGAGAAGGCAATTAAACAGTGTGTGTGGGTTCTGTTAACCACTTCACGAACACAGTCTGCTCATCTGAGCCGGTGACGTAAAACTTCCTGCTCATGAGCGCTTTTTTCATCGAACGATGACTTTTTTTTTTATTTGATGTTGGGTTTCGTTTACTCAGATCCTCCCTCAACCTTTTAAAGCTGCATTGTTCCGCGATAAAAATCAAAAAAATACTCAGTCCTGCCTATAAAGTGTCAATGTGGACATAGATAAAGTTGGTGAGCAGTTTTCCCACCAGCTGCTGGAAGTCTGACCTGCAGCCAGAAGCGATGACGGCGATCGTCCGTCCCTCTGACACAAGAATCTGAACGAGTTGCAGTTTTGTTTTTAGTTCGTCACCTCAAAGAGAAGTCCTCAGACTCATGCTGGTAAGCGATCATATATGTGGATGTTTTAAAAAGTGCTGCTTTTCTTTTAGTCCGTTTTCAAAACAATGCACATTATCAGCTGTTCACCTTGTGAGGCATAAAAACGGTGCAGGCATGACTACTGGGAATTTAGATTTCCCTTTTGTCCACTCTTGCATCACTCACTGAGTGACAAGGCATCATGTGATATATGTATGGGTATGAGCATGTTTGAATAGACTCAGCGGGGTTTCCCAAAAAGAGATTTAAAAGAGGCAAACAGAGCAGAGGGTGAACCAGAAGAGAGGAGTTTGTGTTAAGTTGCTGGACAGTTTTATTCTCACTTTTATCTACAGAAGCTGAACATGGAGACGATTTCTGATGGAGTCCTCAATCAAACTGACGACTACAACTATGAAACCTACGACTATGTTCAAGAAGAAGATGAGAGGAGAACCAGTCAGATCATCTGGTTGTGTATTTTCTACTCTGTGGTGCTGGTTGTGGGTCTGTTGGGGAACATACTCCTTGTGATAATTCTGGCACAGAAGAGGAGGTCGTGGAAGGTACTGGACTCCTTTATTCTCCAACTGGGAGTTGTGGACATCCTGCTGCTGCTGACGCTGCCCGTCTGGGCTGCACAGCCTTGTGAAAACTGCCCGAATACTCTCTTCGCCATCTGCAGAGCTGTTTTTAACGTAAGTGTTCAGCTGAAAGTGAAAGTGTTCTGTAGAGCTAAAAAGTTTTTCTGTTTACTTTAAACTTTTATCAGACTTGCTTTTATTTAACTCTGCTTCGAGGAGATAAACTGACTCTGACTCTGATAAACCCCCTTTTAGATAACATCCTCTGATTCTTTCAGTTTTTAGGAAGAAGTGAGAGAAAGAAACAGTGACATTTCAAAAGATGACTAAAGTTTGTTTTCTTTCTTTTTCCAGATCAACTTCTATATCGGGATCTTTCTGTTGGTTTGCATCGCTTTAGTTTACTACTTGACCACCAGCCATGCGGCCTGGTTTTCTCACCACGGGGCTAAATTAGCATTTTTCAGTTGCCTGTTGGTTTGGCTCGTCTCCTCTCTCCTCACCGGCCTTGACTGGTGGTTCCTAGAGCCTGAGAAGGATTCACCGCAAGGGAAGGCAATCTGCGCTCAAAAATTTGGAGTTAACTGGCTGCTGGGTTTACGTCTGCTCCACCTCTCAGTGGGCTTTTTGCTCCCTGTAGCTCTCTTTGTCATATTATTTTCTCTTGTATGGCGACGACAGCAGAGCTCCGGAGCAAAATGCATCCAGAAGATGAGACCCATTCTGATCATCCTGGTTCTAATGGGGGTTTTCTTGGTCTGCTGGATTCCCTACAACATCGCCCTCATTGCTGACATCATCTGTTACAGTTCACAAGATGTTTTCAGCACGTTCCTGGAGTCTTTGAAAACAGCGCTTACCGTCACCTCAGCCATAGGCTGCAGTAACGCCTGCCTCAGGCCACTCTTGTATTTTTTACTTTATGGAAAGTTCAGGAGAAGAACACTGAACTTCTTCAAATGTGACACATCTGGACACCAGAGTTCATTATGGGAGCTGAGCGTTGGCGAAACGGCACCGTGTGACCAGAATCAGGCAGCTGAAGAGCAGAAAGAGATGTTACATGTGGAAGACTTGTCAACTATAAAGTGATCACTCAACACAAATAACTTCCTGTTGCTCCGAAGGTTGACCTGAATGATGCTCCTCCGGAAGAGGGAGTTTAGTGGATCCACGCCATGGGTTTCAGGAAGTCGGAGGACTTCTGTCAGATGGTGAAAAGTAGAGATCTATATTTGTTAAAAGACAGAAGGAAATGTGTCATATCCTGTATCAATACGAGTTCTGTAGCCACATCACAACAATATACCAGTATATACTGTTTTACATTACTGTAATCATGAAGTGTACAGATCTTTATTATGTGGCCATTGAAAGTAAAAGTCCATATTTTTATTGTTTTATATGTTGTAACAAAGCAGAATTATCAGCATGCAGTTTTTTATAACCGGTATTTTGAAACTGGTATCTGTTTTTAGATCTGAATATGGTATAAAGTTGTTTCTTTTACCTGTGTTTTTTTCTGTTATTTTTAATTATTAGAAGCTGTTAATATATAATAAAATATCTGAGTTTTTATTTAATTAGTTTTCTTCTGTTTACCGAAACCAGCAAAGAATGTGGAATTTCCACAAATGAGGTTAGCCACTCCTTGTTTACACATGTCGGCTTGTCTGTAGATTGTTTCTCTTTACGACCCTGAAAGCTCTTCTTGCTTTATGACTTAATTGTTGTAACCTGGGTGCACCGGCTGAAATGAAAGAGAACAGAAATGGAAGCTCATCTCATCTGTCAAGTGACGGAGAGCCGGAGTAAGAAAGCAGAAAACAAGCAGTGGTTTTGAAGCTGCAGCCGGGTCATAATGAAGCGTTTTGTCTGAAGCAGAGAACTGTAGTGGGCTTCATGTGAGGGCATGACTGGGAAAGTAGGTGGTAAACTGATAATGGAGAAGATAAACATCTTTCTGTGGAGATAAAAAGCTCTTGTGCTGATTTTTTTTTTTATTTATTTTTTTTTTTAACCACACATGCTTTGCAGGTCACAGCCTGACCAAGCCTCATTTTTGAGCTCAAGTCAAAAATCAGGATTCAAGTTTCAAATTTAAAAGAACTCCTAAGTGCTCGGACTAAAAGCAGTCAGATTATAAGGAATGTGGTTTCATGGCAAAACCAACTTGGAACATTAATTTATGATGCTACATTAAAGTAGCTGTTTTTGATTTGTTTTTATATCATTTTTTTAATTTACTTTTTATATGCTTTTTATATGATTGTTGTCTGTGCCTCACCTGTGTTCTTTGTTTAAAACAGTTCTCTTGTCCTGGAGGCTCAATGAGACTAACCTGTATAAATAAAGTTTGAATGAAATTTAAATAAAATTGTAGATAAATGTAAAAAAAAAGTATCATTGTTTTGGATTCAATGGTTTTTACTGTCATTCACATCACGTGGTACATGAGGTGGAGCAAAACTATGTACGCAGGGTCCCAGTTACATCCAACAAAAATACAAATTGTAAAGAAAAACAGTAAGATCCAAGTGAACTAAGAATATACTACATTTACTAAATTAAGAATACACCAAGCACTAATAAAACAAAAACAACAACAGCAGCACAAACATGAGTCTGTGTGAGCAGATTAGGACTAATGAACACAACAACATGAAATTAATCAGCAGCATGAGATCAGCATCATGGAGAGTCAGCAGCACACATCAACAACCAAGTGGCATTACAGTGATATTTTTCACAGTCCTGGTTAGAGATTCATGAGTCTAACATCCAGGGCAGGCATGGAGAACAAATAGGACAACTCTATGTATATTTGGCACTTAGGAGATCAGTATTTGACTAAGGTTGCAATTCATGTGTGTCAAATAGAAATATAGCACTTTTCTAGCTTACCAAGATACTCAAAGGTCTTTACACTACAATCTGTGCCCCCATTTACCCATTCATACAGCACTCTACTATTTCTGTACAAATAATAATCATTGCTTTAAATCATATTCATACAACCATGAGACACACATCGGAGGCAATGAGGGTTCAGTGTCTTGCCAAGGGACACCAGCATGGGACTGCTGGTGGAATCGAACCCCCTCTCCCATTGGAGGACGACTGCTCTAACCACAGCTGCCAGAAACAAACCTTAAAAATATAGATAAACTACAAGCTCAGGCCTTAAGAATCATCAGGGTCATTCAGAACATCAGTGTCAACAACACAAGTAGAAGTGGGAGAAACATCCTTGAGAATAAGAAGAGTTAAACTAATGCTAACATACTGGGTCAATCTGCAGGGACATGATGGGAATCATACAAACAATGATATTTGAACAGTTTGTTGGGAACATAATGAAACAATTATAAGGATGATGTGGATTCAAACCATAGTTTCAAATTTAAAAGAACTTAAGTGCTCTTCTTGGAAACATTAAACAGTTTCACATGGGGGATTATACGGTTTATGAGCAACTTTATTTCTGAAGACAAATCTGATTGGGAAGATTAGATGCTGGGATGGTTACATGGTGTCTTTAGACTAATTTTTAGGCAAATCTCAAATACAGCAAAAATCATTATTTTTACAATTACACAGCAGCCTGTGCTCGTTCTGACTCATTTAGCCAACACGGGTCACATTATTTTTAGAGATTAGATCTCATGATCCAAACTGAGAACTGGCTCTAACAGCAGGCGTGCATCATATTTATGTGACATTATTGGTTGTTAGTCTTTAGAATCACATCAAGTTAAGACTCTGTTTCCAGCAGGAGCCAAAGTTCATCTGTGAAGTAAGACAGATGAATGACAGTCTTTTAAAATAAATTCAAAACGATGAAAAAAAATTAAGCCTTGATTCATTAACGTTAAAGACATATGACAATAAGCACATGTTAAAAATAGCCTGGTGCATGAGAACCAGTCAGGTTGGTAGAGTAAAGCCTTTTATATCCTTTAAGACTTTTGACTAAGAAAACATCATCTGATTCTTTCAGCAAGTGAAAGATCACAAACAACCTGATCTATAAATCCATCTGTCCATCATCTTCTCCTGCTTCTTCCTTGGACAGCATGGTGGCACAGTTGGTAGAGCTGTTAAGAAGATCGCTGGATCGAATCCTGACTGAGGACCTTTCTGGGTGGAGTTTGCATGTCCGTGCATGCGTGGGGTTTCTCTTGGTACTCCAGTTTTTTCCCCACAGACCAAAAGCATCCATGCTAGGCTGATTGGTAACTAAATTATCCCTGTGGTTGTTTTGCTTGTCTCCATGTGTCCCTGTGATGGACTTGTGACCTGTCCAAGTGTCCCCCAGCCTCTCGCACAATGACTACTGGATATGAGCATCAGTGATCTCCATGCCCCAGAAAGGAAGAAACGGATCAAGATAATGGATGGATGATTCTTCCTTTCCTGGTCATGGGGTACCCACATCCAGCTATCACTGTGAGAGAGGCAGGGGACAACTTGGACAGGTCTCCAGTCCATCACAGGGACACATAAAAGACAAACGAGACAACCATTGCTCATTACCAATCAGCCGAACATGCATGTTTTTGATCTATGGGAGGAAACCAGAGAAAACCCATGCATGCATGGAGAGAACATTCAAACTCCACCCAGAAAGGTCCTCGGCCAGGATTCAGTCCAGCAACCTTCTTGCTGAGAGGTGGCAACTCCAACAACTGCTGCTCAAATAAAGAAAATATGAAAAAATAAAAACAGTTTTCTCCACAGCAGCTACTGATGAGCTTGATCAAACTGCCCCATATCCAACAAAGTTAAGTCAGGTCCTCTGGACGGTTTCTTTTTGTTGAAATGTTTCGTCTTTCATCCAAAGGACTTCATCAGTCTTCTGAGTTTGTTGTGGCTGCTCGGACTGATAAAATCTTTTGGATGAAAGACGAAATGTTTCAACAAAAGGAAACCATCCAGAGGACCTGACTTAACTTTGTTGGATGTTTTACCTGGATTATTGAGATGAATTTTGATGTCCAACCCATCGATCTGTGCTGTGTGTGCAGAGCAGATACAGTCAGAGTTCAGGGAGGAGGAGGTGACGCTGCTCTGCAGTTTGTTGCTTCAGGGGGAAACATCGTCAAGCTCAAACATCCTGCTGTTGCAACACTTTCTATTCTCATCTACTGGAAAATACAGTAAGTGCACATGAGATGTGCTGAATGCTTTTTTGTGCAACATTGTAACCTGTGATCGGAAGGTCACTAGTTCGACTCCCTGGACCGACCGACAACATCAAAATGCAGGCCGGAAAGGTGAAACACCCACACTTGCCTCCACCCTTGTTTGCCCCACTCTGGGCCCTTGAGCAATGCCCTTAACCCCCACCCTCTGCTCCCCCGGGCATCCTAAATGGCAGCTCTCTGCTCCACACAGAGAGCAGTGGTAGCTCGGTGGTTGTATTAGGAAGGGCATTGGCGTAAAAACAATTGTTAAGTCTTGGTGCGAGTTAGTTCACTGTGGTAACCCCTGAAGAAAGGAGCAGCCGTTAAAATATATATATTTTTAAATTGTACCTCAATTAATTTTGGTCAGAGCGCAGCTTTAACCTTTCATCTGTTATCATGCGGCTCAGGATGTGACTTTGCCTTTCTTCATCTTTGTTTTTTTTTCTGTTTCCTGAAACAAAGATGTCATATACTTTCACAGAAACTGACACATGCTGGGTTTTATGTCAGCATTAATGGTTAGTGTTGTCTCGAGTTTTACACATGTATCATGCATGTAGTAAAATATTTGGAAAATAGTGAATTTTGTAAGCTTTGTGTTACTGTGCACATCAAGCCATCCATCTTTTCTTAAGATTGTGTTATCTGTCACTGAGTGAGTGCTTTGTGTAGCAGAGTGTTGTTTTTGTCAGCCACAGGCAAAAACAATGTTCTCCAATAAATGTTTTTTCAGAAATGTATTTAAGTTTTTGTGAACAAAACATAAAATGAAGTTCATAATGCATTTTGCACCTTACTGTGTTTTTACACAGGAGGAACCTGCCTCAACCAGAACTGCTGGCTACTCGCCCACAGTAAAGTCGTTCTCTGAGGCCATTTGCACAATAAACACTAGCTAAAGGTGCACATGACACCCTTCAGCTTATGGTGTAAAGAAACAATCTACTGAAATAATTTTATCTCACATTAAACATTTTTATCTGTGGCCATGATCTAGTTTCTGTGGCGTACCTCAAACAGATGAACCAGACCAGCTGAGATCGTTTTGTTGTGAGTTACTGTGTCAGCATCAAACCAAAGCCTGAAATCAGTGTCAAACACTCATTTTTAGCTTCAGTCCATCTGTGACTCAGAATAGAAGATACATTTAGGCTTGTTTGCACACTAAACCCTGAACATTAAAATATTTGTGTTCTGTTCGTTATTTCCACGTGGAGCTGTAGAGGAGCACGGCCTATTTCAGCTGCAAGTAAAATGTTCTAATTATTTTTTTACAACACTTCATGATAAATCAGTCAATTAGATTTTTTTTATTTTTTTATTTAAGTGAAAATAAATGTATGATAACTGTGGGCACTAATTAACTCACCCATCCCTTATCTCTTTGCACTCCTACCCTCTGGTTCGGTGCCAGAACTGCTAAATTACCCAACATTTTTTCTCCAGGCCATCAGGGCAACTCCTCCCTTAACAAGCTAAACACGAGCTGAGCTGAACTGAAATCTACAGTGCTGTATTTGAGCAACAAGACTGCAGATCTATAAATAACCACAACTTTTGCAGCATTCACTACTTTGTACACGACACAGCTGAGTAGCTGTGCAGTGAATGCCGTTCAGTGCAGAGAGGAATGTTCAGACCTCCGTCTTGGAGAAACTAAACCACTACAAAGATGCATGCTCAACACTGAAGAGTTACCTAGGCCAAGACTCAGTGGTCCACAGACACCTCCAGGATAAGGGGCACTCTTTCGAGGACCAAAGTGTTCATATTTTAGACAGAGAAGACAGATGGTTTGAGAAGGGGGGAAGCCATTTACACCAAATGAGAAAAAAAAAAAGAGAAAAAATAACTTAACAGAAGAGGACTTCTCAGATATTAACTCTTAAAAATGTACAATGCAGCATTAGGCCCGATTCCCAGTCAACTCCATTCCAATTCCCACCTTCATGCATGTGACCGAATCATCTCTCTCATGAGGCAGACAGAGAGCCTAATGACCCTCCATTGTGTGGGTGAGCAGTTCCAGTCTAACCTGCTGGGGAATCTAATGCCTCTTTTCCATTAGTGCCATTAATAAGTCGACAACCAGGCCTCTCATAGTACACTCATCAGCTTCAGAATAGAAGTCCAGTTTTGTTTTTTTAACTTTTTTTTTTTAATGTACCCAGTATCTGGTGCTTACTTGGTACTTACTAGTTGTGCATCTGGCACCTATTGGGACCTTGTTGTATTAGGAAGTTAGTTACTTTTTACTTACAGGGAACACAGGCACTTACTGAATTATGTTTTACTAATGACTCTTCTGAATACTTTTTAAATGGTTTTAAACAATATAAATGATAAAATTATCTCCCAGAGTTTGAAGTCCTGTTGCTAAAAGTGTAATATAGAAATACCGTTACTTTAAAACGTATGTTTATTATGAAATTCAAATCATACAGCATTATGATTATATATTTTTTTTTACTTTTTAGGAGGCTTAAGATGCATCAAATTTACTTTATTGTAAAAACACCAACAAAAAAGACATTAAAGATGCAAGACATACGGGAAAGAAAAGTTGGAGGTGAGAATGCAAAACTAGAGAAAAAGAAAATCAAATTATAGACATACAACTCCTGATCTACTCGTACTGTGATTTCTAAACTGCATGTTCTGGTGTCTTTGGATTTTTGGAAATTTTAACACAATTTAAAAGCTTGCTTGGACAATTTTGAGGCATTCACAATCTCAAAGTAATGTTTTTTTTCAGATTTGAATTAGATGTTTGTCTGCTGCTTGCATCCACAAAACCTCAAGATGTTCAGCAGTTGGTGCCTAAACGTAACATCAATAACAGCGTACAGGATGGGATTGAGGCTGCAGTGCAGGTAACCCAGTGACGAGGTCACTATCAGAGCTTTGTCCAGAGATGTGTTCATTTCACATGAAGTACTACCGTTGTCTTGCTGAACTGTATCCACCAGGAGAGTGATATTGTATGGAGTCCAGCAGATAAAGAAAACTGCCACCACAGCTATAATGACTTTGAAAGCTCTCTGCTTTTGGAGGCCTTGGGTGCCACACCGCAGCTGCCACAGGATGCAGGAGTAGCAGAAGACCAGGACAGCTGAAGGGAGCAGAAAGCCCACTGCGTGGTACAAACCTCGTGCTGCTAGTTTTAAGGTGGAAGAGTACTGGAGACCAAATTTGTAATAATTGCGAACACACTCGGCTCTGTCTCGTCTGACATCTGTCACAACTTCTAAAAAGATCCAGTCAGGGATGGAGAGGAGCAGAGACAGCAACCACACCATCAAGCAGCTGGCCTGAACGACCCAGGCCTTCCTGCGAGTGTACATCTGAGTAGCGTGGACAATGGACAGGTAACGGTCCAAACTGATGCAGGCCAGGAGAAAAATCCCACAGTAGAAGTTGATCTGAAAGATAAAGGAACTCAATTATAGAGAATTTGTTGCTTTTTCAGCTTCTTTCTTCAGCTTCTTTGCTTTTGTTCATATCTTACCGTAAAAACAGTTCCAGTAATTTTGCAGAGTGAGTTATCAAAAGTCCATCCTTTCTCATTAGCAGACTGTGCAGCCCAGAGGGGCAGAGTCACCAGCAGGAGGTTATCTGCAATCCCCAGGTGAAGGATGAAGGTGTCTGTCACGCTCCAGGTCTTCCTGCTCTGAAACAGGACTCCCAGCAGCAATCCATTTCCCAGAATACCCACAACAAATGCCAAAGAGTACAGGACTGGGATGAAGACGGATTCAAAACTCATCCTCTCGGTCAGGTCACAAATATCTCCTTCTTCACAACAATAGGTGTCATCAAAAGAATAAGTGACATTTTTTAGGTCATCTATCAGGTCATTCAAGTTAAAGTTTTCATACTCGGTGTCCTCCATCATGGAAATCTAAGACAAACAGAATGTTTTCATTTTAGTCTCAGAACAGTATCAAAAAAGGTTAAATCATGTCGTCTGGACCAGTTTCCTTAGTCATTTTCCAGCCACATGGTGGAGCTGTCTGAATGACATCAACATGCAGTTTGTCCTACATACTTCACATACTTATAATTTGGACAAAAAACACAGTCGGCAACAACAAAGTTTTTTCCTCTTAATAATAATTGGAAACAAAAACAAGAATGTCTATGATTTGTGCATTTTTAATTGTTCAACTGAAAAAAAGGTAATTGTGGAGCACCAATCGTAAATATTGTATATAAATTTGTCCAAGTAGAAGCATAACTATCTCATTATTTTGCATGTAATTCTAAAACAAACAGTTTAAATACATTTTTATTAATGCAATATAAAGAACAACAAATGTTATTTTTGTTGTAACAAATAGTCTGAAATGTCTTTTATCAACTTCACTTCTGTGTCTTTGTATGTTTTTCACTAAAATGCTGCAACACATTAATAGCAAAGTAATATGCACTTTCGTAAAAAAAAATAATAATAACAGTGCTGAAGTACATTTTAAAGTAAACATTAAATGGGCTGAAGAGTAAAGCTAATTTAGAGTATAGAGATAAATTTCACAATAGTGAATTGGTTTATGCATTTTAACATATGCATGCTCAATTGTCCAGGTAGGCACATCTAACAAGGTTAAGTCTTGTCCTCTGGAAGGATTCTTCTTTGTTGAAATGTTTTGTCTTTCATCCAAAAGTTTCTTCAGTTTGAGGAGCTGCAACAAAATCAGTCTTATAAACTCAAACAAACAAATTCAGACAAACTCAGAAGGTGCTATTTATAAGGCTGACTGAGTTTGTTGCAGCTCCTTAGACTGAAGAAGTCTTTTGGATAAAAGATCAAATGTTTCAACGAAGAAAAATCTGTCCAGAGGACCTTGTTACATTTTAATAGATCTTTTTTTAATAATAGAAAACATTCAGATAGTCCAACGTAAATGTAAATAACTTACCAAGCTGTAATGTTCTGATTTTGTGATTTTGTGGGTCGCACAGCTGCACAGCAGAAATGAGCTCTGTTCAAGCCAGCCTTGCTAATAACTCAAAGGCAGGCCTCCACAGAAGGAAGCCAAAGGGGAATGTAGTCAAAAAAGTGAGAAACGCTTCACACGCATCAAGGTGAGAACTGTCAACGCTTTCATAAGTTGCTTCAACGTGCAGACTTTGATGGTAGCAGGAAAATGTTGCTGTTTGTTTTTTTTTATTTTTTATTATTGATTAAAAAAAAAGTTTTTTGTTCATTTTGAAGGTGGGGGCATCTGAAAAACAAGGGTTTGTTCTTAACTTTCACTTTACAGTTAGAAAAAAAGCAAAACTTGTTTTGCTCAACTTTGTCTGTTTTCATTCGTCAAGTGATTTGACAACTTGGGACCACTCCTAAAAGCCACATGGCTTTGGTTCACTTTTTTTTTTCCATTCAAGTTTGCATACCATCAAAACCATCCAAATCCAGAAAGGTCTGCTTGAGCCAAAGGCAGGAAATGTTCTCTGGCAACATGAGTCATTCCACGACTCTGACCCTGATGAGTCAGAGTCAGAGTTTCTTTATTGTCATTCGCACCTCATGTGGTACATGTGGTGGAGCGAAATTATGTACACAGGGTCCCAGTTACATCCAACAATAAAATGTAAGAGAAAAACAGTAATAACATCTAAGATATGAACTAAGAAAAACATCAACTAAATATACACTAAGCACTCATAACATAAAACATTGAACATCAGCACAAACATGAACATGAGTCTGTGAGCAGATGTGCACGCATGAACACATCAACATTGAAACAGATCAGCAGCAACATGAAACAGATCAGCAGCAGCATGATATGGTTTTTCACAGTGATTATTCTAGTTAAAGATTCATGAGTCTAACAGCCTCAGGGTAGAAGCTGTTCCTCAGTCTAGTGGTTCTACACTTAATGCTCCTTAACCTCCTGATGAGGCAGATATTTAGATTACCTCAATGGATTCAGGCTCAAACTTTCACAAAAGTGATGTACAGTACTGCTTTAGTGCTTAAAAAAAAAAAAAGTGTGAAAAAACAGTGAAGTGAACCATAGACGTGCTACTGTCAGAGTGTCAAAAACTACTGAAATAGTTTCGTTCACTGCTTTGTCAGTTTAGGTGTCATTTTAAAAAAAATAGCATATCTCTGTATGTTTCAAGCCTGCCTCAGATACCCCTGAAGTCTGGCCTTTTCACTAATGGTTTCAAAAACACAAAGTTTGTTTTCTCAGTCATCCAGGTATATAACAACAAAAAAGGTTGAATCATGTCATCTGGACTTCGTTTTTTTGTTAAAAAGAAACGTTTCGCCCCTCATCCAAGAGGCTTCGTCAGTCTGAGGCCTAGCCATCTGGTTGTTATATACCTGGATGACTGAGAAAACAAACTTTGTGCATATCTCTGTATGTTTATATTAGAACACATTTTGATATTGGGCTGCCATGTGCTATTTAGGCATATTTCCTTCCTTGTATCACACGTTTTTTTTTAATTCAAATGTAAAGAATGAGAAGATCTCTGTACCCTGCTGTTTTGACATTTACTTATTGTAAACGGAATATCAGTCTTTAATAAGTCATTTGATAAACAAGAACAATATGACATTTAGAATGTTTTCCAAAGAATGATATTCAGGCTAAAAATAAAAGAAACATTTTGAGCATGTTTTTAACTTCCTGTTAAGATAATTCATACCTCCATCCATCCATCCATTTTCTTTTACCTGCTTCTTCCATTTTGGGTCACGGGGGTCGCCGGTGCCCATGTCCAGCAATCACTGTGCGAGGGGCGGGGTACACCCTGGACAGGTCGCAAGTCCATCACAGGACCGCATAGAGACAAACAACCATTCACTCTCTCACTCACACCTAGGGACAATTTAGAGTTACCAATCAGTCTAACATGCATGTTTTTGGTCTGTGGGAGGAAACCGGAGTACCCGGAGAAAACCCACAAATGCATGGAGAGAACATGCAAACTCCACCCAGAAAGGCCTCCTGATCAGGATTTGAACCGGGGACCTGCTCGCTGAGAGGGCAAGCTGCTGCCTCTCTCTCTCTCTATATATATATATATATATTTTTTTTTTTTTTTTCTGGTTCCTATTTCCAAAGCATGCAGAAGCAAGGAGTTACTCACAGTACAAAGTGCTTTGAAACAATATAGTCAACGGTAGAGTCTGATTTCTCCCCATTTGTTCATGTCATTCTTCTTCTTTTGGCTTTTACCTCTTCAGGGGTCGCCACAGCGAGTCATCCTCCTCCACCTCACTCTGTCCTCTGCATCCTCTATCCTCACTCCAACTACCTCCATGTCCTCTCTAACTGCATCCATATATCTCCTCTTTGTCTTTTTCCTGGCAGCTGCATTTCTAACATCCTTCTACCAATATACCCATGGTCCCTCCTCTTGACATGTCCAAACCATCTCAGTCTGGCCTCTCAAACTTTATCTCCCAGTTGTTCAACCTGTGCTATACCTCTGATGATCTCATACCTAATTTTATCCATCCTTTTCACTCCTAAGGAGAACCTTAGCATCTTCATTTCTGCCACTTCCAGTTCTTTCTCCTGCCTTTTTGTCAATGTCACTGTCTCAAGACCATACAACATAGCTGGTCTCACCACTGTCTTGTAAACTTTTCCTTTGACCTTTGCCAACATCTTTTTGTCACAAATCACTCCTGAAACTTTTCTCCATCCACTCCATCCTGCCTGGACTCTCTTTTTCACTTCTTTACCACATTCTCCATTTTCCTGGACAGTGGACCCCAAGTACTTGAAGTCCTGCACCTTTGTGACCTCTGCTCCTTGTAGCCTCACTGTTCCACCGGCCTTCCTCTCATTCACACACATGTAATCTGTCTTACTATGGCTGACTTTCATTCCTCTTCTTTCAAGTGCATACCTTGACCTCTCCAAGTTCTTATCCACCTTTCCCTGCTCTCACCACAGATCACAATGTCATCTGCAAACATCATAGTCCATGGGGATTCTTGCCTGACCTCATCTGTTAGTCGGTCCATCACCAGAGCAAGCAAGAAAAAGCTCAGAGCCGATCCTTGATGCAATCCCACCTCAACAGGTGTGACCCAGCATATTGAGTCAAAGTTTTTTACCTAAATGTTAGGTGAAAATTTTTAATTTGTTGAATTAGAATTACTAAATCTATTTTTATCAATGTTTTCAAATTTCAAAGGATGAGATTATTAAAGTATATCTATTTACCTATATCCATCAAAAAGAGCAACCCAAAATATAACTTATTACCTGATATTGTTGGCCGGAAATGACGTCATTGCGGGAAACCCAGAAAGTACCGGATGTCAGACAAACAATGTGCCAGACAGACTGCATGAACAATGGTCACCTCCAGTTTGTCTATGTCAATCTTAGCCAAGACGACATCCATGGGGCCTAAATTGACTTGGAATATATTAAACAGTAATATACAGCTCAAACGCTGGCTACAATGCTTCTTTTATTTTATTTTGGAAGCTGGTGTTAGCTGTCATCTATCAGTTCTTTTATTCTATTTTTCAAAAGAAAAACAGGTAAAAAAAAAAAAAAAAGAAGCAGATGTTAAAGCTAAACCTGCTGACGGCTAACAGCCAAGATGGCTAGTTGTCACTCAGTCTGTGTCACATGTCTTCGTCTCCATCCAGTTGAAGCTGCGTTGACTAATCATGTCTTGTGACGTATAAATGTAGTAAGCCAACAGAGTGCCAAGACATGATTAATTGACCAAGATTCCACTGGAAGGAGATGAAGACGAAGCAAACTGACTGACAGTTGTCTAACAGTTAGCGGAAGGCATTAACAATGCATTTATGACTTTTAAATATGTGTCCATCCCTCATCGGCCTACTTAATGACCAACTGTTTTCTGTTTGTTAACAATCTATATTTATTTAAGCTTTAA